GATAAAATTCTTCAATTTCCTCATCTGTGGCTTTGGTGGTTGGGGCATAAATTTGAATAACAGTCATATTAATGGGTCTTCCTTGTAGGCGTATGGCTATTATCCTATCACTGACAGCATTGTATTTCAGGACAGATCTTGAAACATCCTTTGTGATGATGAATGCCAAGCTCTTAGACCAACAAAACAAAACAAAAAACCCACTGCCACTGAGTGGATTCCTGACTCACAGTGCCCCTAGAGGACAGAGTAGAACTGCCTACTGGAAAACTAGAACTCCTTACTGGAACAGACTGCCACATTGTTCTCTGGTGGACCTCTGGTGGGTTTGAACTGCCAGCCTCTAGGTCAGCAGTCTGGTGCATGAACCACTCCAGTAGTGCTTGAACCGCTATGCCACCAGAACCTCTTAAAGCTCTTAGAGGGCACAGCTGATATTTCCTGCTTTTCAAGGTCTCTTGGAAAGCTTATCTTTCCATCTATTCTCCCACTATTCCTGCTTTGCGCCTTGCATCCTGCATTTCCCACCTCAGGGTCTCCAGCTGTTTCCTCTTGCAGTTGTGGCTTCAATCAGAGTATCCTGGTGAAGTCCTTTAGGGAATCCACATTTTGGAGAGTTTGGTCCCAGGACGGAACTGGAAAGGAATGTGGGTAGAACAAGTGGGAGAGTGGGAGGCATGGGTGATGAATGTATTGATTCAGTCCAATAAGCTGAGGTCTTCTTAAGTAAGCTAGGGCATGCTGGGTGGGTGCAAAAAGAAAGAGGCTGCAGAAGAAATGTGAGGCTGAATACGGCAGACAGAGCCCTCAAGGACCTGGGGAGGCTTTTCAAACTTTCTGAGTTGATACGGGTTCCCTCCCCTCTTGTTTTACTGATGGGGAAACTAAGGCTCAAGGGGACCCAGGGACATTACTAAGAAGAGACCCCAAAAGTCATGCAGGACCTGTCAGATGCTGGGATGTCCTTTACGATGTTATCCCCAAGTGAAGCACCCATCACTAATCCCAGCTGCACCCCGAGATCACACACCCCAGCCTGCCTGGCCTGTCCCTCACCTGCCGCCCCCACAATCCATCATCTCCCGTGTCCTGCCCACTTTGCCTTGTCAGTCTCTCTTGAATCCACCCCCTTTCTCACTCCACCCTCCTCCTGGGTTTTCTATCTCCCTTCCTCCTCCTCATCCCTCCTGCACACAGTGCAAATTTGCGCCTGCCTCTCCCCCTGCTCCGGGAGCTCTGGTAGCATAGTGCGTAAGGCATTTGATTGCTAACCAGAAGGCTGGCGGTTCAAACTCACCAGCCACTCCTCGGAAGGAAGGTTGGGCAATCCTACTTCCGTAGTGATACTGCCTCGGAAACCCAAGGAGGGGTCGCTATGAGTCGGGGCCGACTCGACGGCAAACAACAACAACAACAACAATCTCCCCTGCTCCAGAACACTCCAAGGCTCCCCAGTGCCCTTAGGAGAAAGCCCAGGCCTTGGTGACATCTGCTGCTTCATCTCTCCCAGTAACGCCCTAAAAATAAAAACTCAAACCCACTGCTATTGAGGTGATTCCGGTTCATAGTGGCCCCCGTTGGGTTTCTGAAGTTGTAAACCTTCATGGAAATAGATTGCCCCATCTTTCTTTTGTGAAGTGGCTGGTGGGTTTGAACCTCTGACCTTCTGGTTAGCAGCCAAATGCCTTACCCACTATGCCATCAGAGCTCCTTAGTGATGCTAAACTTATCCTGAATCATAAGCCATTTACCAAAAGATCTAAGCCCTCGTTTCCCAGCCCCTGTACACACACTCCTTTGAACACACGTCTCCCACCTCTTGTCTAACCAGCTCAACTTCTCAGTTGGCCCTCAGCTGCTCCTCTTTCAGGAAGCTCTCTCTGGCTGGGGCAAGTACCCATCTCTGGACTCCCCCAACTCCTACAGCCCCCATCCCAGTGCTGTCCACCTGAGTCACCATTAGGGACATGTCTGTCCACCCCACTGAAATGTGAGCCCCAGGAGGCAGGGCTGGGCACAGAGGAAGCCTCAGGGATCAAGATTCAAGGCAGGGTTGATCCCTTCTTAATTGTTCTGACCTCCCCTCCTATACACACACTTCATTCTTCAACAATTCTCCATCCTGGCGGCATAGCACCTAAGGCATCTGACTGTTAACCAGAAGGCTGGCGGTTCAAACCCACCAGCCACTCCTCAGAAGGAAGGTTGGGCAATCTACTTCCGTAGTGATACTGCCTCGGGAACCCAAGGAGGGGTCGCCATGAGTCGGATCTTGCTCGACGGCAGTGAGGTCCCCCCCACAACCTGTACACACCTCATTCTTTGCCAGTTCACCATCCCGGCAGTTCTCACTCAATAACACAGGAATGTGGTTTTGCCCAGACCACCAAATGTTCAACACAGCCAACTCTTCATTGTCCACACCCCCGATTTCTTGTTTGAATTCCCACCAGAACACAAGGTTGATCCCACCATGCTCCAGATGGGCAACTGAAGAACACCTCTGACCAAGTCTCTTCCCTGCACAACGCCCTCCTCAGCTCTCCAGTGCCCTCAGGAGACAGCCCAGCTTGCTCTGGCCCACAAGGGCCTGCAGCTGATAGTCTCCCGCTTACAGAAGGCTATTCTGCCTCTCAAGCTGCTCTCGCCCATGCTGCCTTAACTTTCCTTCGGGGAAACCTGTTGCTCTCTAATCTACTGTGGCTCAGGGATGGTCACATGACCTTCCAGGGCCAATCATAATCTTCACCGGGACTTTTGCAGGAAATCTGGCAAAAACGAACTTTCTGCTGTAGAAACTAAGCTACAGCGATGCAACTGCTGGAGGTCACCTTTGCCACCAGCAAGAGTGCCTGCCACCTAAGAAACTGACATTGAAAACAAGCACACGTGACCTGATGCCTGGATCCCATCGTATCTGAAGCTAGGCACCCCTGGCTTCCAAGTAACATAGAGCAACCAACTGCTTTTGGCTGAACAGGATTGTTAGTTCCAATATACCATGATTGTTTTCAATTCTCCACCTCCCCCCAAAACACACCAATTTACCCCCAATTACCTGAAGACACACCTCACCCCCAGGCTTTTGCCCAGGCCACACCCAATGCCTGGCCAACTCCTTCTCATTCCTCAAAGACAACTCCAGTATCCTTTTCTCCAGGAAACCTTCCCAACCCTCCACACTCCCTTCTGGGCTCCCCAGCCAACTGGTTTCTCTGGGGATTGTTTCAGAACCCATGCCCTCCCCCGCACTGGGCTCCTTGTATCTCCATGTCCAGCACTGGGCTTGGCACAGAGCAGACACTGGTCAAGGACTATTTATTGAATAAATGTACTACTGGCGTTAAGAAGTGGCTGAGTCTCCAGTGTACCATGGCAGGCGGGCAGGTGGGCGTGTGAGCGACGATCCAGGGGCCCAACACAGGAGCTGGGGCCTTGTGTCAAGGCCAGAGTTCTGTCCCATGCTCTTCCTTGACTCTCACACCCCCACTGTTCCCATTCTGCAGATGAGAAACTTGAGGCCGAGAGGTGGAATTATGGGCCCAGAGTCACCGCCTCTTTGTCTCCCTTGCAGGTGAGGGGAGGGAAGGAACACCCCAGGTTCGGCGTGGGGGGCACGCTCCTAAGTTTATTGGGCAACAGGCTGCAGGTGGGGGCTGACAAGAAGAGGGTGGGGGACGTAATAACTTAAAAACCCAGAGGCGACCGCGGCAGCTTCCCCCGAAGACCTCTGCAGAGGGCAGGGGCTGGGATATTTACAAGGCTTTGTACAAAGTGCCCCGCGCCAGCCTGGGGCAGGAGGTGGGGGTCGAGCGTGAGGGCTGGGGTGGGGGTGGGAAAAGTCTGCCTCTCTGGACCCCACTCCCGGCCCCCCAAATTCTCCAGTCTCTAGGCTCAGCGATTCTCCCTGCCCCTGCCCAAGGACTAATTCTCGAGCTCTTGTGAGGAATGGAAGCGTCTCCTTGGTTTCCCCTGCTGCCCATGACCTGCCCCCAAAGTCTCCTCAGGTACCCCATGGCAGAGCGAGGTGGGGCAAGGCTGGCTGGAGGCCCCAGGAAGGTGCCAGCGCCCCCTGCTCTTCCTTCTCGACCTGCCGAGTGGCCGCAGAGCGCAGCAGCGCTGGGAACGTTCTTGGCCCTCCAACTGCATTCTGGGAAACGGAGGCGAAGACAAAGGGACAGCCCCCTCCCTCTCCTGCAGGAGCGACGGGGTGGTTGGAGAGAGGAAGAGGGAGAGGCCCGGAGCCGTGGCATCTCAGAGCTCGAGGTCGTTGGAGATGCGGGTGACAAGGGTGCGGAAGGCCAGGGCGGTGCCCGCCACACGACGGAAGAGAACTCCCCGTAGGCCCGGCCGGGGCAGCTGGCAGACCTCCACTTCGAAGTGGGACAGGGGCTCGGGCCCGCCCGCACCCCCGTGCAGGCAGGCCAGCAGGAACGGCTGTGGCTGGCGGCAGCGGCAGCGGGCAGCCGCCGTGGCCTGGCGCAGGGCCGCCATCAGGGCCTCGGGAGGACGTGAGCTGGTCAGCTTCACACTCCAGGGGAATCGGAGCAGCCGGGGGGCGGTTTCCGCTTGATCCCAAGGTAGATGGCAACTGGGATGAGAAGAGATGGGCAGTCAAGGCTGGGAGAGGAGAAGGCCAGTCGAGGGCAGAGGGGACAGTTCTCCTCGCTCTAGGACACTCCGAGCTATCCCCTCAAAGCGCGTTCTCCCCTTTCTCCTTCAGTTTCAGCTGGACGGACAGATGCCCAGCAAGAGACTACATTTCCCAACCTCCCCAGGGGCAGTGTTTCAGAGGGCCAGACAGCTGCCCAGTGAAAGACTACATTTCCCAGCCTCCTCAGCGGTCCTCAGTGGCCTGGTGTAGCCTTGTCTCTGAATTCTGGGATCCAAGTGGAAGTGATGTGTATAACTTCCACATCACCTCCTTTAAAAGGAAACTGCATGCCCTGGAGTCTATCCTCACCACCTGTCAGCTGGAGCCTGGCTGTAGCACGAGCCAACAGTCAACTGTCACTGGGACAACAGGGCTCAGGGATGGGGAACAAAGCAAAGAACTCTGGGTATTTCAATGATCACATAGACGAGGCCTGGCCAAGTGGTTTAGGTGGGAAAGAAACTGATTCCTATCTTACATTGTTGTCGTGGTTAGCTGACATTAGGCCAGCCCCTGACTCCTGACGACTCCGGCAAGCGATGGAATGAAATACCACCAGGTCCTCCACCATCCCCACGGTCAGCTGCAGGTTGGATCCATAAGGTATTTCCCTGGCTGTTTTTTCGTTAGGAAAACACCAGGCTTCTCTTCCTATTCCATCTTAGTCTGGAATCTCCACCAAAACCTCCTCAGCATCCCAGCAACACTGGAAGCCTCCACTGATAGGCTGTGCATGAGGTGCACTGGGCTGGAATTGAACCCAGGTCTCTGGCATGGAAGGCAAGAATTTCACCACTGAACCACCACTCTCCTATGTTACTACTCCACTGTAATGTGGGGTTTCTTTGTTACAGCAGCTGAGCTTATTGCCTAACTAATACATTCTTCTCTGGTAAGAGATGCTTTACCCTTGGAAGACCAAACCTCCTCACTGCAGACCAGGGATTATCACTTGGAGCAGTTGGCCCCAAGTTGTATGTGGGAATTTCTGGGGACTTTTTTTTTTTTTGTAATTTAAAAAGAAAACTACTATTTTACTGTGGATTCATAATCATTAGTCCAAGGGATCTTCCCCATTTTCTTTTCTTTCTAACAGGGAAGTGGTGATGGATCTTTGTAAATTATACATTGTATACATTGGAGTACTGGTGGCACAGTGGGTAAGCACTCTCTACTGCTAACTGAAAGGTTGGTAGTTCAAAGCCACCAGCTGCTCTGCAGGAGATAGATGGATCAGTCTGCTATCATAAAGATTGACAGCCTTGAAAACTCTGTGGGGCAGTTCGACTCTGTCCTCTAGGGGCGCTGTGAGTCAGAATCAACTAAACAGCATTGGTTTGATTTAGGCTTTGCTTCTGTAAAGATTGACAGCCTTGGAAAACCCTGTGGGGGCAGTTCTACTGTTTCCTCTTTTTCTTTTTTTTTTAAATTGTGATTTGGGTGAAAGTTTACAGAGTAAATTCACTTTCCATACAGCAGCTCACGTATACTTTGTCTCATGACATTGACCACAATTTACCCTAATGCAACAGCTCTCCTCCCACTTCCTCCTGATAGTTACCTCTTCCCTGTGTCCATCCCTCCATGCACTCCTGCCCCCTGAGCTGTCTCCCTGTGCATACACAGCCCTTCCTTCTCCCATAACTGTTCTCTCCAAGGAGTGTGTCTACCTCAGGTAAATGTTCAGCTCATATGCCTGTCTTTTGTTTGGCTGGAAGCCACAGGTGTGGGTTCAATTCCCAACCCGAAGGGCAACTAGGGGCCATAGTCTCATCTACTCTGTTTTAAAGGGACACTAGGGAGCTCTGGTAGCATAGTGCCTAAGGCACTTGACTGCTAACCAGAAGGCTGGCGGTTCAAACCCACCAGCCACTCCTCGGAAGGAAGATGGGGCAATCTACTTCCGTAGTGATACTGTCTTGGAAACCCAAGGAGGGGTCGCTGTGAGTCAGGTCTGACTCAATGGCACGTAACAACAACATGAGTCAGAATATTATATTAGGAGCTCTGGTAGCGCAGTACCTAAGGCACTTGACTGCTAACCAGAAGGCTGGCGGTTCAAACCCACCAGCCACTCCTCAGAAGGAAGGTTGGGCAATCTACTTCCGTAGTGATACTGCCTTGGAACCCCAAGGAGGGGTTGCTATGAGTCGGGTCCGACTAGGTGGCACATAACAACAACAACATGACTCAGAATAAACTCAACAGCATTTTTTTTTTAATATTACAATCAAAATTCACAAAAATCCCATGGCCCATAAGGCATTTCAGGATATATGGGGATACTTACTGTTTTTTTTTTTTTTTAAAAAAAGAAAAAAGCTTTTATTTCATTCTCATGTAATCGGAATTACTTAGTAATGGGTTGTGTGTGCTCGCTGGACACTGCACAACTTCTCAAACCCTGCAGTCTGACTGGACACCACCACCCTCATTTCCTACTCCACACTGACTCTCACTCAGCACTTGTGTTGAGCACAGCCACCGCCAAGCAAGCCAGATTCTCAAAGGGATGATGTCATCAAAATAGAAGCAGTGCATCGAATGTGGAAACTGAGCTATGTCGGTGTCAGGCTGCGTGTGACAGATGCCAGGCATCACTGAATTCCCCTTGAGACTCTGAAATCCCATGGCATCTCTGTAACACCCTGGTGCACAATTTGGGAACTGAGACTTCAATGGGTTAATACCCTTGGCCAAGCGAAACATGAGGAAGAGAGTAGTTTAATGTAGCCTAGAGAGCAAAAAGACACGGTTCACTAGGTGAGTAGTGATGATTTCACTCCATTTAGAACTGCAGTGCTGCTGAAAGGTGGACCCAAACCAAACTCACTGCTGTCAAGCTGATGCCGACTCACAGCGCCCCTAGAGGA